ATATAAACAACGATAGTATTCAGGAAGAAAACCAAACATTGCAGATATTTTTATCATAACTCTGGTTTTATGTGGCCTATCAACACAATTTAAAAACTGGTATAAAGTCAACACTTTTTCCCTCAATTGTTCCGTCTGTCCTGCTCACAGCTCCAATGGTTGTTCACGTCGTCATTAACGTGGCTTCACTCCACATCAGCCACGCCGCTTTGCTAGCTAAAACACCGGTGTCGGCACATAAGGGCGCTGTCACAGCCTGTCAACGACGTTGATTAGCTGCGTATGTGCGAATGTGAATTGCATTATTGGCTGGACTATGGGATAAGGTGGCATCGTTCTAATCCCATATGGGAGCAGCCAGTCACTTACTGACTAACACTGCAAAACAGAATTGTTAAAGTATTAATTTTAATTTCAGAGACCATGCCAGCAGTGCGCAATTGTGCACGTGCGCAGCTTAGAGGGAACATTGCACACCAGCATACAAAAACAAATGCAAACAAGGACAGGTGGGGATTCAACACAGTACTGTGCAAAATTAGGAAAGTGTGTTAAAGGGCAGTCATAACACGTCAGTGTTTGGGAATTATTTGACTCATGAAGCTCAATGGCAGCAGTACAGCATGCGTTGTACTTTACAGATGGATCAAGTTTTGATTGCTTGTATTGTAATATATTTAATTTTTAAAACTAGTCTCATACAACTTACACTCAGTTTTGTAACATTTGACCAGTTAACCTAGATCGTCAGGTAAGCCCTTTACTCAGTTCTCTGTATCTTCGGTGTTTATCTGGATTTTGTCCTCTAGTATGCTGCCTCAGTGTGGAATTTATAAATGATTAACTCATGGATGATGGTTTGGAAAGTTTGTGTAGGTGTTTGGCATTACCTCAAAGGAAAACATGAGATTGAAGAGCTGTTGTGGGCTTCTGATACATCACAGGCTTTCCATTTAAAGTATGTGAAGCTTTGGCTTTGGGCTACAGCAAAGTCCATCATTAAGCTTATGTTTATCTGAACTTATACCTGATGACTCAGAAATATAGAAAATATTATGCTGATTGTTAATATTTGTCTATAACTACACATAATGAATCGCATGAATTTATAGCTTAGGTTAATTTAGGTTTTAAACTCTTTGCGTGATACTTCAGCAGCATTTCTTAAATTAATCATTTACCTGCAGTAATATTTGTTGCAGGTCTTAACAAAATTATCTGGGAACTAAGTTTGAGAGACTGCAAATATATTAATACATATTAAATGGTTTGATCAGGCAAGATTGGGCATTGTTAAATGTCCGTCTGGTGGACAACATGGAGGACAATGAGAGAAGTTGCAAAAAGTATAAGCCATCAGCAGCTGTATCAGTGCAACAGTCCTGCCTCCTGTTGGGAACCTGTGTGCTAATGCTGTTAGCCCAAGTTCATAATAGGACTGCTGACTGCTGTAGCAGCAGCAGTTCAGGCACAACCAAATTGGGCACAAATCGGGCACCAGATCAGGAAAGTTGGATGCATCCTCTGACACTGCATGGGAAGTAAAGGGATGTGTGAATGTGGATTACAAGAAAGATTTTCACCTATATATACAGCACTTACCTCATTTCTTTATATTTTGCTTCCAAGCAGCGAGAGCTTTTTTTGTAAGGGGTCTTGAGCAATAGTTCTCCAGGATTTCTGAGGGTTTTTCTTTGGACATTGGCTACTTTTTTACTCATTTGAAGTCCAGTCCCTCTGTCTTAACATTTTGTTTGTTAAGCCATTTAACACTAACCTGTGACTCATTCAATCACAGAAAAGGGACCGAGCTCAAGAGATAAACAAATAGCTCCAGCTATTTTTCCTGGCAAATTATAAAGAAATGAGGGCTGGCTCAAGACCTTGACTGTTTGACACCTCCTGTCACTGCAAGTGTGTGTCTAACGCCCCAGATTATAATAATTTGACCAAGCAAAGTGGACATTGGGACTGCAGTAATCTCATAAAATTATCATGGTCAGCACTATTTTGATCAAGAAAATTTAAAATACAGTTGTATGCAGTCTGTTTCCAGCATTAAAACTGGTATTAACAAAATGCATAACCACATTCATAGGAGGCAGGTCATGCACCGGCAAATATAGCTACATTTAGAATAGGTTCATTTTAGAAAGCCGAATAGCTTATATTAAAATTTGTTTACTGGTCAACCCCTCATGAACCAAACGCTTTTTATCTCAGTAAATGGTGGCTAAGAAGTCAGTGAACAGAGATGTATGTGGGTGTTAGAGCCATGGACTATGTAGCCACAGCTGCTTTGAGAGGAAATGGTGAACACTGCTTTGGCTTGTGCATATTTCATGAACTGAACCCAAAATTGTTCAAACTCGGGGTGTCGGGATGATCTGGGTGTCCGCAGTGCAATATCTATATTACAGTTTATTAGGTTAAAAGGAAGAAAAGAATCTTTATTTTTGACTACAAAAATCTTACACTTTATACCTAGCCTAAACAATCGACTAAGTATAAACTAGTGATTAATTTCACTGTTTACAGCAGTGTCTCTGTGGCAGGAATTGAATTAAGTATTTTCCAAGACTTGTAGATACCCTAGTGTTACCCATTGAACTTCTTGTGTTTGAAAATCAGTTTGTCTTATTGTTCAGATGATATGTTGGAGACAAAATCTGGAAGTGCTACCCCTCTGCGCTCTGGCTCTGTGGGCAACTACCGGACCGCTATTAAGAACGATGTAGATGGAGCAGAGCTTCCAGGTACACCTAGTACCGTGCACCCCACCAAGACTGGAGAAGGCTCTTTGACGTCATCGTTGACCTCATCCATCGATTCCACAGGAGGCGGGGACAGTGCATCTGTCCCTCGACCAGGAAGCCACACCATTGAGTTCTTTGAGATGTGTGCAAATCTTATTAAACTACTTGCACGATAGCTCGCAAAACAATCGCTAGCCTTTTTCTCCCTCTGAGTGTCTTTATAGCAATAAGCATGCAACTGAATCGTGGCTCAGTTCATCCCGGCTGAGGATGAAGTGATTGTTCCATGGCACTGATGCAGGTTGGTGTTCCCTAAGCTGAAGGAATGTATACTGAGCTGACTGGGGATGCAAAGGGTTACTGGGGGAAAGACAAATGACTAGCTGATTAATTAGCTAGGACAGAACATTTAGGAACGAGGGTTTTACAATTTCCTGAACAACTTAATAGCAAGCGTCTACATCCCAACTACACATATATGCGCAAGTGATTACACTGAATTTTCTGTACTGTAGTCAGGTGAGCACTGCTTTTCAGTACAGAGAGCAAAATCACATTCTTACCTGTACAAAAGGAAGCCACACATGGAGGTTGGGGGTTTGGGTGGCAGTCACGGGATGCAGGAAGCACTTTTGCACAAGTTTCTTTTATTTCCTGCTGCTGTTGTTTTTTTTGTTTTTTTTGTTTTGTTTTTTTTTTTGTGGGAGGGGGTTTGGTTCTTTTCAGTAGGAATCTGAGAATTGGTGCACATGTTCCGAAGCGTTATATATAACTAGGGTGGGCATACCCATCACATTCATTGGAGTCTGAAGAAGTTCAGTGACTCCTGTATTTCCGTCTTGCGTCAGGGACTAAAGAATGCGTTCATCAAATTTATGTTGGGTTATTATTATTTTTTTAATTCTTTTTAAGAAATTGTCAGACTAAATTTCATGGTTTTGTCCTGTTGTAAAAATGTGTTTTTGAATTTGTCTGTCCCCCACCTTTTTATATATAAAGACGTAAACATATTTATCAGTGCATTAAGTAGGTGGAGTGTTGGTTGTAAAGGAAATTGATTTTTTTCTTTTCTTTCTTGCAATAAGATCTATTGCTGGATGGTATATATTTTTTTTACAGTCTGGCTTGTAATCATAATGAATTTTATTTCATTCAATCAGTTATTCTGATACACGATTGTCTTTGTATTTAACTTTAGACAGCTTTTTGCCACGACAGTCAAAATCTAGAACTATAACTTTCCATGTCGCATTAGAATGACAAGTTGATTTTTACTTATTTTCTCTTATTTCTTTAGTGGTTTTGGTTTTAGATTAATGAATACGATTTCAGTATGATTACTAAGTGAAATGCCTTTTGCCTACATTTGTTTTGTAAATGCCATCACACATGAATAGGCCTCAGGGCTCAGTGAGTAGTAGCAATTACATGCAGCGCGTGGACAATGTCTGTTGGTAAGTGAATACATCCACAATGTCATTTTTGGACATATTTTAATTTCCCATACATTCCCTTGAAGTTTGACCTTGTTAAAGGTTTTATGTTTTTAAACCTGAAACAGACTTACGAGCTTTGAATGACATAGATCGGGGAGGTAGATTGCACTTCTGGTGACTTGCAAGCTCACAAAGTAGAGTTAGATATGTCTTTGATTATAAGTGTGATGTATCTCATTATCCATTGCCTCTCCGTGGTCTTAAAGTTTTAAGTTATGCCTGTTTGGCTGCCTTATCATTATCAGTACTGTTTTATCAGTTTTATGTCAGTAAAAGTTGGAAATTGTGCCGGTCAGAATTCTTGGTGCTGTTTTTGCGGTTTTGAGGATTAAAGTAATCTAATTACACTATCTTTATGGTTGGTTTATTCATTTTTCTAGGTGTTTTGCATTACCAAAAAGGGAAAAAATTCTAACTGCAAAAACCTAAAAGATCTGATCGTCATCTGTTTTATAGACATCAGTAACTACTGCCATCTTTAAAACGATGTCAACAGGATCAAGTTAAATCAAACTTTTAAGATTTTTTATTTTTTTGGGGGGGGGTTCTTATTTGAATTAAAGTATTTGTATGCCCTTGCTGTAAAGTCAGAATCTTATAATCTGACATGTTTATTAGCAAATGTCAACAATCTGAACTGTTGTATGAGCATTTTACTTTTCAGAGATAATTCAGGAGTGACGATAATCGTGACCAACTTTTATCTGTTGTTCATATTCACATTTGACCTTCATGTCTCACAGACAAAGTATATGGATCATGGTAAAGGCACACACACTATGGTTTGTTTTTTTTTTGTTTTGGTTTTTTGGAGGAGTTGCAACCTCTGGTTATAAACTACTTTTCATGGCTTGCTTGATACATTTTGAAAGAATGTGTGCAAAAAAACATTTTTTCTCTTTTCTTTTTGCCTCTGATGGAGTATTGTCCTAGTGGTCTGAGTTCAGCATCCGTTTCATCTGCTTCAAAGAATAATTGTTCTGTTTTTGTTTGGTGTGTAAGGGGACCCAACCAGACTGATCAGTGTATATCTGAATGGACAGTATTGAATCATTTATATACACAACTGCATAATAAACTGCTAAAATGCACATTTATGTTTGACGTTTTTGTTTGTTTGTTTTTTACCTGAAACATACTGTGAAGAATATATATAGAACATTAAATCTACCACTACCATACTAAGCGTTTCTGTTTAAATCAATAGCATTGGACTTGTATTTTGGAATGTGATCGCAGGCCTCGGTAATTTTAATAAAATTTAATATATGTCCTTTAAATTAAATCTACATTAACAGATTTTGATTTCACGTTTATTTTCGTGCGCTTTAATAGATTTAAAACACGGTTCGTGTTTCTTTAAAAGACTGTAAACATTCTCACAACTTCCGGGTCATGCTGCATTCACGCGCATTCCACAGAATGGGAGGGGATTTGGACTGGTTCGAGGCAAAGTTTAAAAAAAAGAAAAAAAGAAAAAGGGGCGTACTCGTTTCATTCCGAAATAGTTCACCAGTGTTAACGCAAAGTTTACACTTTTGTTCCCTCACGTCTGTAGTCTCAATTGGAGATATTTACTTACCAAAAGAAACTGCATGAATTGTGCAAAAACGGGCTGATCCCCCCCCCCGCTGTCAAATTTTCCTGTATTTAAGATGGGATGTTGGCTTTAAACCGATAAGACCTGAACGCAACGTGAAGGTCAACAAATGTGGCTAACGATTAGCTAACTGCAGCTTATCCACTGTTGCTCGTGGAAAGCCGTGGATGAATGTGCGTATGTCCCCACTTTGTTCTAAAATAACGAAGTATAAAAACATACCTTCAAAATTAAAAGAAGTTAATTTCATGTAGGCAAGCCTACTGGCATGTCAAGTTTTAATTGATAGCTGAGTTGCCCGAATTAACGTTAGCTGGCGTCAGTATGACGAAGTTAAATTTTTTTTTTCTAGCGAGTTTTAGGGGATGTTATTGCCATAACGTGCCATAATACCACGTTAAATATCCAAAATAAAATATAAATCTTTCTGCTACGGTATTTTGGAAACTCATTCAGCGGCCATGTATACGAATCTAGATGGCAAAAGCATGCCAGTATTGTTGACTTGCGCTCATAATAGTATTAATAATAATGTACATTTTTTGTACTACTCTCAGTCGTAATTAAAGCTGAAATCGAGCATATATATGATAAGTGACCACCGCCACCACGCGTCGTATTCCGTTTTTTTCCATATAGGATGGCGTCATTTGGCTGGAAGAGGAAAGTTGGGGAGAAGGTGTCCAAGTCAGTGGTGCAGCAGTTTGAGGCAGAAGCGGAGAAAGCTGTGGATGATGGGCCAAGTCAGGACCCCGAGGTGGATTGGCTGCACGCTATCAAACGACGGCGGGAGATCCTGCTGGAGGACTGTGCTGCCAAGAGCAAGAGACTGGAGGAGGAGGGTGCCCTGTTGGCTGAGCATGGCAGGTGAGAGTGCTTGGCGCAAACACATTATGACAGGCACACAGAAACATTCATTACAGTACACATACAGTAGGGTGACTAACCGTCCTCGTTTTTTGCACTTGTTGACATTTTTTATTTCACCATTCATTAACTGCTCCGAGAAGGTGTCTTTTAAATATGGTAAAGTTTTCTTTAAGCAAACAATATTATTAGTTCTTCATGACTGGGCCAAGTGTCCTCTTTTTTGGGAATCAAAATATAGTCACCCTAACATACAGTACTGTGCAAATGTTTTGATCCACCTCTTACTTTTTGTCATTTATTATTTCCTTACGCGTAGCTTAGAAAATTAGGCTACGTTCACACTGCAGGCGAAAGCGCATCAAATCCGATTTTTTTGACCCTATGCGACCAATTCCGATCATGGTATGACAGTGTGAACGGCACAAATCCGATATGGGTCACTTTTGTATGTGCTACTGAATCCGATACATATCGGATGTTTTAGAAAGCGACTGCTGTTTGAATGGTCATGTCACATTAAATCCGTCTTTTACGTCACTGACACAAGACATATGCCAATTATCAGCGCCGGAGAAGCGTTGTGTGTGACGTCTTCTTTTGCGCATGCGGGCCGCTTTGAGCGTTCACACTAGAGAGTGTCGCATTTTATTTGTAGTGTGAACAAGCAGACAAAAAAATCGGATTTGATCAAAAAAAAATTGGAATTGAGCATTAAGACCTGCAGTGTGAACGTAGCCTTAGAAATGGTTGTGGCGATTTATTGGAACGTGCTAACATAAATGGAAATGCATTATAGACAGAAACAGTTTGTATCATTAGTGTAAATATATGGTATGATCGCCTTTATTTTTCAACACAGCCCAGCAAAGACTCCAATCCAGCTCCCTTGATTGCTTTGGAAAATGTGTAGGAGGGGATACATTTTTGGACTTAACCGTATTGTTATAACGTTTAGGTTTTATAAATATGGAACAGTAGGGGAAAATGAGCTACCAGAACCTTTTCTGCAATTCTACAATTCTGAATTGTGCTCCTGAAATTGCATTTCTTTTATATATTAAGATATCTCAGGCATTAAATGTGCAGTTAACTGTCTTTACGCTGACAGAAAGTGGCGTTTCACTTGTCCGGCCCACTGAAGATCAAAGTGGACTGTATGTGGCCTCCAATGTAAATTTAGTTTGTCATCTCTGGGCTATGGTGAGGCGAG